TTAGCATGCCTCTGAGATACAGTGAGACAGATCAGGGAAGAGAGCTTGCGAGCCTGCCAAAAAGAAAGAAAAAAACACCAGCCATAGCACCAGCACTCAACACTCTCTGACTGTGCAATATATCTTCTGCCTGATAGATCACATTAGATAAAGGATTGCTAAGAAGCACTAACTGGAGGTAGGATGACTCACTTATCTTGCACATTTTCTAAGGGGCATACAGAGGTTTAACCACAAAACTCCCAGCACAGCTCCGAAAGCCAACAGCCTGATGTAGCCTGAACAGCCCCTCCAACAGAATATATCCAGAGCCCTAACTAAGCAAGTCAGGAAGCACTGAAATGGTTACGCTGCCTTCATGGCGCTCTCCCAGCCTCCACTGGTAACTGAGACCAGTGTTAGGTTTCAGTAAAATGGAACAGGTCAAAGAATTAATTACTTGCAGCTAATTCAGCAAGTGGCCTCACAGGCTGATTTTTCACTCATCTGCTGTTTCACCTCAGAATTCTATGAACATCTCTCTCTCTCTCTTTCTAAGCTTGAGACAGCCAAGGTGACCCATTAATACGTGAATCCATGCGCACTTCATTTCACAACTCATGTTTTTTTTCAGGGATATCCTTGAAATTTCCCCATTTATGATTATTTGCCATTTTTTCTCATCATCATCTATCACTTTGATGAATCAGAAAACAATTACCAGCAGGATAATTCACAATCTTGACACTGCAGCCACTAGACCTGCCAAGCTGTGACAGCTTAAAATGCTCAAAAATGAAGCCAAAAAAATGAACGACTCTCATCCCCAAATGAGTTTCTGAGAGGTTGAAGCCACAGGCTGTTGATTTCTCAGCCACTACCCCAACCTCAGGAATGATAAATACATCGCTGACAATCAACACCATAAAAACCAAATCCTCATCATTGCACATATTAGCACTCAAGCATAATACATAGAGCTCCCTTCTGTTTTAACTTGCTTTGCAAACTTTGCTGCCAATAGCATACCGGATTCGCTTCAAGGTGCTGGTTTTGACCTTTAAAGCCTTATATGGCCAGGGGCCTGCCTTTCCCCACACGTTCCCCAGAGAGCACTGAGGTTGGGGACTCAACATCGCCTGACTGTCCCTGGCCCCAAGGATGCCAGACTGGCTATTACCAGATCTAGGGCCTTCTCAGTGGCGGCTCCATACTGGTGGAATGAGCTCCCGAAGGACATCAGGGCCCTGTGGGACCTCTTGCAGGGCCTGTAAAATGGAGCTCTTCCACCAGGCTTTCGATTAGGAGCCGCCACTGAACGAGCTACTGAACATCTATTACTGGCACTTTCTTTGGGATAGTCATACGGGACCAACTACAACGATCGCCATCTGCACTGTATCACTTGTATTTAATCTGCATTTTATATTTTATTTTTGAATTTTATCTGTTTTATTGTAAATTATTATTGTACGCCGCCTTGAGCCTGCTTGTCAGGCAAGGTGGGATAGAAATTGAAATAAATAAATAATAAACACTTAAAAACCCACAGCAACTCCAAAGGACTGGGTTGAAGGGACCCAGGAAACCCTAGAAAGGATCTGGATGGCAAGCTCATATGCAATATATAACCAGCACTACCAAATGTTCAGAAAGAATATACACGCTCATACTTTAGATCACCACTAATTGCTCAGGATAATGAGACTCAGTTCAGTCCCATATCAGCCTACTGCACCGTCATATGAAGTATTTTTGCATGAGTCTTGCCGACTAAGATCATAAGTACACAAGAACATAAGAAGAGCCATGCTGGATCAGACCAAAGACCCATCAAGTCCAGCACAGTGGCTGACCAGCTGCCTCTAGAAAGCCCACAAACAGGATGACTTCAGCAGCATTTTCCTCCTGCCCATGCTCCCCAGCAACAGATAGGGAGGGAGGGAGGGAGAAGATACCCATCCTGACTAGTAGCCACTGATAGTTCCATCCTCCATGAATTTGTCCCTTCAAGTTGCCAGCCATCACCACATCCTGTGGCAGCAAGTTCCACAACTTAACTATGTGCTATGTGAAGAAGCACTTCATGTAGTCTGTCCTGAATCTCACACCCTCCAGTTTCAGTAGATGACCCTGAGTTCTAGTATTATGAGAGCAGGAGAAAAACCTCTCCCTGTCCGCTCTCGCCACACCTCTATCACATCTTTCCTTACAAGCCTTTTTTTCTAGGTTAAACAGCCCTAAGTGTTTTAACCAGTGCTTGTAGAAGGCAGTTGCTTTCGCCCCCTGATTAATTTGGTCACTCTTTTCTGCACCTACAATATTCCTTTTCAGGTATGGTGACCAAAACTGTACACAGTACTCCAAGTGCACTGTCAAAGACAAGATGAGGGACAAGAACGGTAGATCACAATGTTGACCTAAATCAATAAAATCCAGTGGTTTAACAGTTACGAATAATAAAGAATCCAACAGAGTCCCTGCAATTTACAGCACTTCTGTGATACTTTTAATGGTGGTCGCATGCAGAGGCGCAAAAAGCAAAAGGCAGCAAAATGGGAGTAACAATTCAGAGATACATAGCTCCAGATTGATGCCTTATGCATCAGGGAAGCTGTTTTTTTCTGTAAGGATGGTGATATCAAAGGGATATTTCCAAGAAAATGTGTTTTGATTTAAGAAGTCTTGCTTATACAAAGAGATTTCTGGCCTCAGCCTCTTGCCTTTGAAAGCTCATGACCCAGTAATCAAGTTAATCTTTAGGAAAAAGCAACTTCTCTGTTGCTATAGGCAAAGGGTCAATTCAGGTTACTTATGCCACCCAAAGGCTACTGAAAGGCTCTCCACACAGTAGGGCATAAAGTGTGTACTGTATTCTCCCAATCCAATGTGTATCTCTCTATGCCAGTGTCATCTTGCTCTGACATCAAATTCCTTGCACAAGAATCCCATTCCCAATACAAATGTGCCACCTTAATACAACTACTTTCCCAGTATCAGCTAATATCAGATACATTCTGATGTAGTTCAGGAACTAAACAATCTCTAATTTGAAGCTCATTCTTTAATCTGACATGGTGCAAGTTCCCCAGCTATCAAGATATTTCCTGTTGTTCTAGATCTGTCTACAACAAAGTCTAATGACTGCCATGCCAGAAAACATTGAGGAAACTGTCCCAGACCGACAAACAATCCCACTCTTTTGTATGAAGGTCACAGTTCTTAAGAAACAAAATGTAGAAAATACACCTATTCTGTAAGAGAGACAGCACCAAGTCCCATGTAGCAGCCATTCCAAATTTCCAGAGACATCTCTCTACTCCTTTCAAACAAATATACAGCCTTCCGTTACTTCCCTTCATCTTGCATGAAACATCTAAGCTCTTATTTTTGTTCCCGGCCAAATGCAAATGATCCATGTTTAAAGGCAATTTTTTGAAAAATACACCCAGACTCTACAGGCTTGCATAATCCTAGAAAATATGCTCCAATTCCATTTTTTTTTTAATGAACCTCCTATATGGGTGATGCATCAAGGCAAGCGTGGTGTTGTGTGCCTTGCTGCAGACAAAGCTGCCTTCTGCAAGGGACACTGCTTTGTACCTTTTTCTGTGCAGCCCATCATCTTTGTCAAATTCATCAGCACTATCAACACTGGATGAGTGAAATATACAAGACTTATTTCACATACACGTACTTACACACAGTTAAGTGGTATGTGCACCACCCTGCTGTACAGGAAGCATACATAACCTTTAGAATCTTAAATTTAAAAAGGAGGTGCTAATGAAATGGAAGGAGAGAGGATACCTCTACTCGTATTTACCACTATAATCCTTTATAGGAAAAGATTAGCACTTCTACACATTTCTACAATTCAGAAAGAATTTAACCACTACAGATCTGTTACATAATGGTGATGATGATAAAATGTAGCTTTTAAAAAGTATATACATAGGCAATCGGAGAGCTGTGTTATTTATCACTGGTAATTTCACAAGCACTGGCCTATAGCTGCCTGACACATATCCACAAAGCTTTCAGGACTGTATATTGAACATGTCAATGGGGGGGGGGGATGAAATGTGACTCTGGTGCAACAAAAAATAGAAAGCATCACATAAGCAAAAGCTTCAGAAGGTTGCAAATGCTCCTTGAAAATCTGAATTGAAAGCACTTGTGTATATGGGCAGGGGGAGTATTTTTACACAATATATTATTAATAATATTTCTGAGGTGGAAGCAGGATTATTTGTAAAGGTAAGGATAGAAATAATTTTAAATAAATCTGAGTCCTAAGTTTAGGCATCTAAGCTTTGAAAAAAAGGTAGTCGTTCCTCATAAAGCAGGTATGGCATAGTGATTAGAGGAGTCATACTAGGATCACGGAAGACCAGCTTTGAATTCCCACTCTAGCATAAAAGCTTGCTGGGCGACCTCACGGGGTGGTTGTTGTGAGGAAAAAATGAAGCTGGGGTCAACGGTTTTGTAAAATCAGAAAAGTGGGGTATAAATAAATAAACGGAGCTTGACAGTGCACGTGCAAAAGGTTTGGTAGAAATAGGCAGGAGGGACCCCTTCAGTAAGGCTTTACCTTTGCAGAAAGCAAACAGCTTGTGGGAGATCGGACCCTACTTGGTGGTGGTTGCCAACTTTCAAAGTCGCCCCTTGAGTTGTGCCATTAAGGGCATTGAGCAGCTGATAATATTCAGCCCTGAGAAGCCCCATCTGCTGGGGGGTTTTGCACAGCGCCCCTTGGTTAACGCACAGGAGCCGGGAATCAAAACGGGGAAAGGGGAGGACGGCCAGGGCTTCAACAAAACACCAGGCCCGCCCACAAGATTTACCGAGCGGAAACCTCCAAGACTAGCGGGGGCGGGGTACACTCTAGGTGAAGATCGCCCTTGAAGACTCGTGATGGGGGGGGAAGCTATCAGGTCCAGAACCCACAAGAGAAGCAGCACCAGCAGAGGAAGAATAAACTCCATAGGTGGAGCTGAGCGCAGGGACAGGCTACTCACCGGCCCCAAAGACTCCCCACCGGGCCGGTGCCCCGCCCCCTCCCAGCCGACCCCACCAGGCGGCAACGTCGACGTCTCCGTAGCGTTTTGCTCGGGCTCGCACTGATTCGGCAACGGCGGAGTAGAGCCAGTGCCCACAATCAAGTTGGCGCTAATGGCTTCGATTCCCACAAAATGGAAACAGAACGCGCGCTCGGAGGTCATGTGAGCGAGTTTCCTAAAATTACCCTTCAGTGAGGCCTTCAGCGTCATCTTGGATGAAGGCAAGCAGCCCGGCTTCACCCTAAATCACTAGGGAGTGTGGGAACTGTCTCCTAGTTAAAAGGATGGTGGGATAAGTTACATGGCTACTTGGCTGTGTTGGATCCGTTCTTTTGCAAATGTAAAAAGTCGGGCTGATTTTTCCTGCTAGATTTCATCTCCTTCGCCCTGCAGTGTTCAATTGCACGGGGAGAACGGTATAAACTACAAACATTTATATCCTGTCCTTCTTCCAAGAATCTCAGATTGGTGTCTATGGTGGCCCCCATTTTATACTCCTTGAGAAGTTCTTTCTCTGTAATGCCTTATGACAATCTGGAGACTGTTTTTGACTCTGTATGCTGTTTGATGGGTCTTTGACCGTAATAAACTGATTGATTGATTGATTGATCTTCACAACAACCATGTGAGGTAGGTTACTCAGAGTGGCGGTCCCAAGGTCACCCAAGCAAGCTTCGGGGCCGGGCAGAGTGGGGGCTTGAATGCGCATCTATTACTCTGCAGCCTTTCTAAAACACGTGTCCTGAGAATTCTGTTATAAAATTAGGTATTTTTGGGGGGGTTGGCAATTGTAGCTGTTAAATATATTTGCTTTTCCTAAGTTCAAAGTGGTGTCCTATCCTTTTGATTACATCGACTCACTGTGTAATCCACCTTGAGCCCCAGGGAGAAAACGGACACTATAAATAACACGGATAAATAATGTCTTGTACAACCTCATCTAACTCTCCATGGATATGAGATGTTGGGTCTCTCATTTTTATCCTGATTTTCCAACTTTATCCTCACAATAATCCTGTGAAGTAGATTCACCTGGGTAGCTGTGCTGGTCTGAATCAACAGAACAAAATTTGAGTCCAGTGACACCTTTGAGATCAACAAAGTTTAATTAAAGCTTTCATTATACCTAGAATTAAACTTTTGTTAGTCTTAAAGGTACCACTGGACTCAAACTTTGTCCTCTGGAGCAGTGTTCCCTCTAAGCTGAATTAGTGTGAGCTAACTCACAGATTTTTAGCCTCCAGCTCACACATTTTTTGTCTTAGCTCAGGAAGGATGGCTCCAAAGCAAACTAATTTATGCAGTAGCCAAATCGCTCGCTCACAACTTTAATGCCAGTAGCTCACAAAGTAGAATTTTTCTCACAAGAGTCCACCACTTAGAGAGAGAGAGCATTGCTGTGGAGATTCAGAAAGGTTCAGAAAGAAGTGACAGATCCAGGTCGCCCGGTGAGTTCCATGCATGAATGGGAATCTAAACTGGGTCCCTTCGGTCCGCGTCGGACGGACACAGGGTTTGCAAAGCTGCTGTTGTAGTGTACAGGAGATGGGAATTACACGAGGAATTCCTGGCATAGTAAATCGGAGGGGGGAGGGGGAAGCGTAAAGCGTTTTCTGTCTCGGGAAAGCTCATACTGGAGTAAATGTTAGTTATGATGAAGGTGCCGCTCGATTAATAGCAGGATACAATTACCGCACACATTACTAGAGAACCTGTGTAAAAATTCTGAAGGGAGCTCTAATTGAAACGCCTTCGATGAGACTGAAGACGCCCGTTACCCGTAGACGACTCATGAACTATTCCCTGCCCCCCACCCCCCCGCTTGCCCGTATAAAAAATGGCTCTTCAGGAGGGTCGAAATGGGTCATATGACTCCCTTTCAAAATCGATCGAAAACCGACTCTCGCGGGAGTGCAAAGAATTAGCCCTCTGTCCCGAGCTTTCCTGTTCCCGCGGTTTACGAGGGAGACTCTCGCGATATGTGCCTTTGAAGCCAGGACTTCTCGCGATATCTCGGAGCTCTGGGAGAAAGCGGGTACCTCGGGGGCGGCGACGCTGGGACAAAATGGCGGAGGAACCGGGTAGCAACGGGGACGCGTTAGCTTTGCCGGTGGGAAAGGAGGCAGGTGAGGCTGAGTCGCCTTGGTAGTCTCGCGGGGCAAGGTACTTGTCCTCCTGTGGTTGATTTGCCGCCGGCTCCCTTTAGTGGGCGCACCTGGAGTGTAAGGGGCCTGTTGGTCCCTCCCCTCTTTTCACGTGTGGTTGTTGGGACCGTCCGTCGTTCCTGCCCACCCGCCTCTTTCTCCCCACGGCTCTGGTTCTGGAGGACGGGGACTGGCTCCTCCCCCGGCCACTTCACCAACGTTGCACCCGATCCTTTGATTCGCCTTGCTTCCTCCGTCCCCTGTCCGAGTGAGACCCTTGGGAGAAAGGTTTTACGATAAGATCTCGGCGCTCCTTAGTCGTCGCTGACCACGTCTTATCGGTGTGATGAATGAACCTCTCCCGGTTTGCTTCACGCGGTAGCATAGGATCCGTAGCTAATGGCACAGCTGAACACGTGGTGTTTCTTTTCAATGTAAAAGGTAAAGGTTCCCTTGCTCGAAAGCCAGTCAAGTCCAACTCTAGGGTTGCGGTGCTCATCTCCTTTTCAAAGCCGAAGAACCAGCGCTGTCCGAAGACATTTCCGTGGTCATGTGGCCAGCATGACTAAACACCAAGGTGCACAGAACGCTGTTACCTACCCACTGAAGTGGTACCTATTTAGATGCCTGCAATTTTTTGCTTTCAAACTGCTAGGTTGGCAGGAGCTGGAACTAGAGACGGGAGCTCACTCCATCATGCGGCAACTTGGGTCTTGAACTGCTGAACTACTGACCTTCCACAGCCTGCAGTTCAGCGTCTTAACCACTTGAGCCACCGCTCTGTTATAAAAGCGTTGTTCCTCGTTGCTCAAAACAGTGTCCAGTAAAACAAGCAAATCCTAGCTTCCCTCTCTCGACCCATCCCCAGCGCGAGAATTCATTGCTGTGTGAGGGTTTTAGCTCCTCCTCCCAGGTTGAGAGGCGTTTAATGTCTGAAAGGCCGAGCAAGAGGAGCAGCTAGGCACTGCTCTGCCTCTGATGGCAGATTGGCGCTTGGATGTTGGCCACAGCTCATTTGCACCTCCTAAGAATGTTCTTCTAAAAAAAAGAAAAGAAAACAGGCGGTGGGGTGTCCAGGTTATAGTGCCTTGCCCTCTCCGCCATTCATTATCGTTCTGATGCTGATCGAAGTGCAATTGTCTGTCACCACTTGGGGAATGAAACTGGTAACTTGTATGTTGCATTAAAGGGTTGGGCTCTGAGCACTGGCATATGCCTGCTGCATAAGGAAATGTGAAGGGGCAGTGCTAACTTTTGTGTTCCAATGCTATTGCTGTCATGTTGTGAACCCAATACTGTTAGAATTGAATGATATTCTCTTGTCAGTGTGCCTCTACGGTTCAGCCCATATGCCAGTGCTTGTAATTTATGCAAGATACTAAAACTGAATAGAGGTATGGCACTTAGAGGCTATGGTTTTATGCTTGCTCACAGGCAATTTCATTGAACTGTTAAGTTTTTGTGAGCCCATTAAAAAAAAAGTGTATAAACAATGTTCTGCATAGCGGAGTAAAAGGGCATCCTAGCCTATTAAGGCTATTTTAATGCAGTTTTCTGTTCTTGGACAGCATTCTTGCTATTCACCGTTTTTCTTCACTGTAGGAAACATTATACATGGGCAACTCATTTGGGATCCTAAGGAAACATGACTTTTTATAGTGTTCTTAAACTTCTTTTTTTAAAACAAACTCTTCTGTTGCTGCCACATTCAGCCATATGACCTTTTGGAAAGAGATGTAGTGAATGCAGTCACATTTGAAGCTTGCTTTTTAAATTATTATGCAGTTGTATATGTGGTCAAGTATACAGAAAATAGCTTGTGTTATTTGTAGTAAAATCCATCTCAAGAGATGTGACATCTTCAATAAATTCCTTTTTGTGATGACTTGAAAATGCTTCCAGTACTGTTCCATTTAACTATCTGAAGATCGCACCTCTTAGCAAAATTTATAGTAATTACGACAGATCTAAGGACAAAGATCTCTTCAAGAAAATTGGAGAAATCAAGAGAACGTTCCATGGAAAGCTGGCCATGATAAAGGACAAAAACGGTAGGGACCTAACAGAAGCAGAAGAAATTAGGAAGAGATGGCAAGAATACACAGAACTATACTAGAAAGACTTCAGTGTCTTGACAACCATGATGGTGTAATCACTGACATTGAGCCAGACATCCTGGAGTGCGAAGTCAAATGGGCTTTAGAAAGCATTACTAACAACAAAGCTAGCAGAGGCAATGGTATCCCAGCTGAGCTATTCAATGTCTTAAAAGATGATGCTGTTAAAGTGCTGCACTCAATAGGAATGTTCAAACTGTCGCGCAGTTGCACTCATTTCACACGCTAGCAAGGTCATGCTCAAGATCCTACAAGCTAGGCTTCAGCAGTACATGGATAGAGAACTGCAAGAAGTACAAGCTGGGTCTCAAAGAGGTAGAGGAACTAGAGATCAAACTGCCAACATTTGCTGGATTATGGAGAAAGCAAGGGAGTAGCAGAAAAACATCTACTTCTGTTTCATTGATTGCGCTCAAGCCTTTGATTGTGTGGATCACAACAAACTATGGCAAGTCCTTAAACAGATGGGAGTACCAGACCAACTCACATGTCTCTTGAGAAACCTGTATAAGGATCAAGAAGCAACAGTTAGAACTGGATATGGGAGAACTGATCGGTTTAGCATAGGAATAGGAGTATGACAAGGATGTATATTATCACCCTGCTTATTTAATTTATATGGAGAGTACATCATGCGAAAGGCTGGCCTGGATGAATTATAAACTTGAATTAAGATTGCCGGGGAAAACATCAGCAACCACAAATATGCAAATGGCAGAAAGTGAAGAGGACCTAACAAGCCTCTTGCTAAGGGTGAAAGAGGAAAGCGCAAAAGTTGGCTTGAAACTCAACATCAAAAGAACTAAGATCATGCCATCCGGCCCCATCACTCCTTGGCAAATAGAAGGAGAAGTCATGGAAACAGAGACAGCCCTCACATTCCTGGGATCCAATATCACTGCAGACGGTGGCTGCAGCCATGAAATTAAAAGATGCCTGCTCCTTGGGAGGAAAGCGATGGCAAACCTAGACAGCATAATAAAAAGTACAGACATCACCCTGCCAACAAAAGTCCGTATAGTCAAAGCAATGGTATTCCCAGTAGTCATGTATGGCTGCGAGAGTTGGACTATAAGGAAGGCCGAGCGCCGAAGAATAGAGTCTTTTGAACTATCGTGATGGAGAAGACTCTTGAGAGTCCCTTGGCCTGCAAGAAGATCAAATCAGTGAATCGTAAAAGAAATCAACCCTGACTGTTCCCTGGAAGGCCAGATAATGAAACTGAAGCTCAAATACTTTGGCCACCAAATGAGAAGGGAGCACTCACTGGAGAAGACCCTGATGCTGGGAAAGATTGAAGGTCAAAGAAGATGGGGACGGCAAAGGATGAGATGGTTAGACAGTGTTATCGATGTAACAAACATAAAATTGAGCAGATGCCGGGGCATGACGGAAGACAGGAGGGCCTCGCGTGATGTGGTCCATGGGGTTGTGAAGAGTCGGACTCGACTGTGCGACTGAACAACAACAACAATGACAGATCGCAGGCCCATTCATGCTGTCTCTACAGTTTTCTGGGGGCAGCAATAACAGAGGTAGATGCTGGCCCACTGCAAGTACAGTATTTTATCCTTTACTCACTTAAACTGTAACATGAAGAAATTCAGTGGTGAAAAGAGCCATTTAGAGGACAACAAGAAAAGGGACCCGCAATAGTCGCGGGGGGGTGGGAAGCAGGAGAGGAGGAAGCGGCCACAGGTAAGCTTCCCCCCCCCAGCTCCAGCGGTAAGGCCTGAGGGCCCGCCGATCTCCCCCCCCAGCTCCGAGCCTTCTCACGCTCCCCCGGCACCGGCGATGGAGCCTGAGCGTTTTCTGCGCATGAGCAGGGGACGCTCTTTTCCTTTACGGGGGATTTAAGTATCCACTGTATATTTTTTCAACTTTTTAGATTTTTCTGCACACCTGGGGACTGCTCCAAGTGTGCAGGAAAATCTCTCTGCCCCCCCAAGTGCCCCCGATGTGCGGATTTAGATATCCGCATGGAGGGGGCAACTTGGCTATTAGATATATAGACAAGAGGCGGGACCCGCAATACATGGCAGCAGGTGAGCCCAGCCTTCTCCCATCTCCCCTCCCCCCCCCAGTAGCGGCGGCGAGGCCAGCCCACCAAGCTTTCTCCCCCCCTGGCAGCGGCGAAGCCAGCCCACCAAACTTTCTCCCTCTCCCCTCCCTGGCAGCGGCGGCAGCAAGGCCGGCCCGCCAAGCTTTCTCCTTCTACCCCCTCCCTGGCGACAGTGAGGCCCGCCCGCCAAGATTTCTCCCTGCTCTCTCCAGTGGCAGCGAGGCCTGCCCGCCAAGCCTTCTCCCTCCTTGCCGGCAGCGAGGCTGGCCCACCAAGCTTCCCTCCCCAGCAGCGACAAGGCCAGCCTGCCAAGCCTTCTTCCGTCCCCTGTGGCAGCGGCGGCAACAAAGCCTTCACTCCTTTACTTTTGGGGGGATTTAAGTATCCCCTCTATAGTTTTTTTACAGTTTTTAGAATTTTCTGCACATCTGGGAATTGCCCCAAATGTGCAGGAAAATCTCCCTGCCCCCCCAGGTGCCCCCGATGTGCAGATTTAGATATCCGACTGCAGGGGGCTCCTTGGCTATTAGATATATAGATATTGACCTGCATGGCAGATTGGAGAAGGAAGAACTAAGCACATCCATTTAATTAAATGGAAATAACTTCTGCTGCATTTAGACAGAGAGTGCATCTTAACTACTCTAGTATAGGCAATATCTCCAACAGTATTTCCAATACATGCATTTCTCAAGTTAAAGAGCAAGATGACAGTATGGAAGAGCAATTTCTAGTGGACATCTTTATCCATTGTAAAGACACCTGCAAACTGCACTGGGAAGGATATGAATCAAAGAGCAAAG